TCACTCTCTTTTCTGACTAGATTATGGCTAGTAATCAACAAGATCATCTCTGATTTAGTTTAATTTAAATTTTATAATAAAATAGTAGCAAGATTAATTCCTATTTAAAGAATTAAATTAGCGTCTGTCCACATAATGCTATTTCACTAAAACACTAAGCATTATTTGTCCTTAGATTTTGAAACAGTTTTGTCAAAACTATTTTTTTACTTGACGCCAATATACATAAATCAGTATATGTATAAATACCTGGTACTATCTTGATATTACTATTTTACTATAGTATTCTAACTGCTGTATTGGAGACATTGTTCCAAACATAGCTAATATCTAAGCATTTATCTCATTTCCATAAGATAATCCAGTCACTTTGCAACTGAAGGAGGTCATATATGTTATTCATCTTAAAATTATAGTGTAAGCCTTTCTCTGTTCATTTACATTTTGGCTCTTTTTGTCTTGCGATGATTGTCGCTCTTGATGGGTGTAATTGTTTGAGTTTGAATTACTATATTATATTACTTTGAATTATGTATACCTTAACTCTTAATAGCATCAATGGCAACATAATTCATATATGTAAACTCCAGTTTACTTAAGAGAAGAAATGTTTAATAATCCAGATCTATATTGGGCGTTGATCACCAGTATGTAGTAGGTAATTACCGTATTTTTCGCCGTATAAGACGCTCCGGCATATAAGAGGCACCCAATTTTAAAGGAGGAAAATCTAGAAAAAAAAGATTCTGAACCAAATACTGTACTAAAATATTTTATATCAACTGTATAAAGTAAACAGCAGTTTAAGAACAATTTTATGTCAACCATGTACCATCAATCACGGGCATCCAATCAGCGGGGCGGGGCAGAGTACGGACATCAGTAAGCATTGGCTGGAGGAGGCGGAACCAGGAGGCAGACATGCGGACATTTCAGGGCAGCATGGATTGATTGGGTGCCCGGGAGATATGCAGAGAAGCAGCGAAATTGTGCCCACACTGCCCAGCAAGGAGTGAGACTGCTCCGGGAGACATGAGGAGACGCAGCCTGCGCTGATGGATGGAGGTACCGGCAGTAAGCTCAGCATGATGCCCGTGCAGCACATGGTTAGACTGTCGGGAGGGGGGCATGGCGCGCTATAGGAGGGAGAGGGAAGCCCGAACACACACAGCCTGGCCGTGCAGGGAGGGTCACAGAAGTCACCACAGCCCGCAGTACGTGCCCCAAATCCAGCCCGCAGCACACACTGCATAAGGAAAGGACTGCGAGTAAGCGCCACACAAAGTTGGGGGCAGTTTTAATGCATGTAAAATGTGTATTTGCCGTATAAGACGCACCAACTTCCCCCCCCCCCCCCCCAGTTTTGGAGAAGAAAAAGTGTCTTATACGGCGAAAAATACGGTAATGCAAAAGTATTGGTCAAACAAAAAAGTTAATGTTTCATTCATTATTATTATAATCAGTTATAATATTAAGAATTCAAGGACAGCAGTTTCATTACTATGGCCAAACTGGTGGACCTAAGAAGTGTTTGCGCATACTCTATAGTAAGGAGTTGTGGGCCCTTTGTTTATATGATGAAAGAGACAAAAAAAAAGGACATAGAATTTGAGGGCTAGAAAATTGTGTTGGGGATATGGGGGGTTGTAATGCGGGCTGTTTTATTGATGGGTTTAACCATGTTCCGGGCAAAATAAACATATATACCAACTATTTTACTATATATTACTACATAGCGTAGCACGAGTATCAGCTAGTTCAAATATAAACTAGTAAAACTAATATAAGATAAGATAATTTTATTGATCCAATCAAATGGAAATTCAGTTTAACTGCTATTGACAACATAAGTGTAACTACTGTACAATAACAGTATAGATGAAAAATTCGAACAACATTCACATAAAATGACTAGAATAGTCCCTCATCCATGCTCATCAAACTCCATGTACACATCCAGCATTGCAATGCCTCATGTATGTCATCTGCAACACTCATTAGAAAGATGATGTCTATTCTGAGCTTTTATAATGTCACTTTTTACTCCTTTTTTCTCCCACTAATAATTCTCAGATCAAGTTGAAACTTTTCACAATAATTCATTGTCAGTGGCAACACATGAATCAATAAAGAAATCTACGAATTAGTTAACCAGTCATAATTAATTAATTTTTCTTTTTTTTAGAAAATTACTAAATCGGCGAGAGGCAACAAAAACAATATTGTAATCACAATAACACAGAGAATTAGGTCTTTCATTAAAAAATTTAATGTAACAATAGGCTAAAAAAACTTCCATTTAAGTATTTGAATAGCTCAGTGGCAGATAGCCCTTCATCATTGAGGCTCGAGTTTTTTAAAATTCAAACTTGAATAACTTGCTCATATCAACTCTGTCTGTCTGGTCAAAATATTTTACACATTATTTCTCCCACTTCCCATTCTTGAATAAGTTTAAACTTTGTAAAGTTATTTATTGTTAATGACAACAGAAGAATCAACGAAAGAATTAATCTATTAGTTAATCTTTTAGTCATAATTTTGTTTTATATTAAAAATTAAAAAAAATTATACTAAATTTTATACGTCAAAAGCGTGAGTAAAACTTGTGCATTTTTTAAAATTCATATCTTTACAGCACTAATAAATTTTGACATGTTTTTTCTTGACAAACTTTGTGTTGTAGGACCTATAAGTAGTTTTGAACTTTTTATGCTTCATTTTCTTTGGTAAATTTAGATTTGAAAAATAAAATCATAATATGATATTGGTTTTGTCTATTTAAGTATTAAAACAAATAATTTGTATATTATTCTGACATAAAGTTAGATAGCTTTTTATTTTGTCTTGCAGGCCTTGAGTTCTTTGAGACTTCAGCCAAAGAAAATATTAATGTGAAAGCTGTGTTTGAACGTCTAGTAGATATTATCTGTGACAAGATGTCTGAGAGCCTAGATGCTGATCCAACAATGGTGAATAACACAAGTAAATCCACTCGACTAACAGAGAACCCTAACATGAACAGCAGTAACTGTTCCTGCTGATCCAGTCACCAAAACATGTCAGACATGAAATTGATTTTATTTGTCAACATCTAGCAGTTACCATTATCAGGACTTTGGGCTGTGAGTTGAATAAAATGAACGAGTCCACTAAAAAAATTATTCTTTATACAAGGCATTTTTTTTAACATTTATTTTTTAAACTATCTCCAAAAGAATATATAAATACATTTTTCAGACCATATTTATTTATTATTTGAAAGTTTTTAAGTCCTGGTCTAGCTCTTTAGCAATTTGGTGATATTCAGCTTTGTTAATTCAATTATTCACCTATTTCAACTTTTTATGTTCAAATAATTCATAAGAATTTCAATGTAAATGTGCATTCAGTCACCCAAATTTAGCCATTTGTAATGTTTAATTGAAACAATGACTGCAACTAATCATTTTCCATTCATATAGATGATTAGACAATTAATTGAGTAGCGAAATGGAATTGGAGGCAAAATATTTCCTTATACATAATTATTCACTTATACTTAAACCAGTTCAACTATTTAAATTAAGGCATCTACCAAACTATTTATAAATAATAACTTGGGGCAAAAGAATAGCGAAAGGAAAAATTTACATCTCTACAAATATATACAATGTAACTAGCTATGTGTAAAAATTAATGACTTCTTTTATTATTATTTTTTTTTACACAACGTACGTTAAATAATTGGTTTCTTTAAATACATGAAAGATCTAGTCAAAATTGTGACTAGAATGCATGCACAGTGTTACAAATGTGTAAAAGTTACTTTAACTTTGCTAATGTTGAAGTAGGCCTACATTTGGCAATATTCAACACTGAACATTTATTCAATTGATGAAATAGTGAAGCTCAAGGTAATGGGGTTAATTTGTATAATTTAAATCTAGATAAAGTCACAGATTTTTTTTATGCTCCTAATTTAATCCTATTTCGTAATTAGGATTATTTTTATTCGTTTCTGCTGACAGTTCTTTGAAGTAATTATGATGACTTTACGTAACTACATTTCTTATGTTGACTTCACTTTCAAATATTTTATATCATCGATATTTCATGAGTTGTTTGCTGTCAAAACTGATATGCTCTGTATGGAGACAAATAGTAGAAGTACATTCTTATAGCTTTGACTAATTAGGCAAAGGAAAGTAAGTGGACTTGTTGTTCATTGCTTTTTATCATTCTCCATGACATTACTAGCAATTACTAGAAACAAGTAAATATCATTAAATGTAATAGAATCACATTTGAAAGTTAAATCTATGACAAATCTAATTTCTTAGATGTGAACATGTTATTTTTCTATTTTTCAATTCCTCATGAACCTAAGGGACCATAGCCTTAGCTTATGTAGTCATACCAACACGTATTATTTTGTGTTTGAACACAGACTTCCTAGAAATGGGGGGACTATAATTTGTCAGAACTTAGTGTTTTCTGAGAAACTGTCCATTGGAGAAATGACCACAAAAAAAAAATCCAATGGAAATTCACTTTTTTTTTTCATCTTTTTTTTTATGTATCGAAATGATCTGTTGAAATGTTTGTAAGAAAGACTATCTAAATCAATGATTGTAACTAGGGATGATGCAATATAAAAGAATTCACTGACTCACATGTGCGTGGTGTTTGAATTCAATTTGAGTCTTTTGATTTATTTTACATTTATTGTTGGCTACATTTGATGTTGATGCAGTTTTAGTCCAATATTTTTTTTTTACTATAGAGTCACATTGTGTTCTGTTATTGACTTTTAAAAAAAAATTTTTTTTATCAGATTTATCCTAACATAATAAACAAATAATTTTGTTTGTATATTAGTATGATGATTAATGGGTTATTTGAGTAGGTTTTAGGTCTTATAGTGTCAATTAAAAGTTTAAGAAAAAATAATGTAAGTATGCTCCCTATTTTTTATTTTTTTTAACATTCCTTTCGCATATTGGATGTTTGTCCACTTTTGAAGTGACATTCCGGTTGGAGGGCTCAGACATATATATATATTGGATGTTTGTCCACTTTTGAAGTGACATTCCGGTTGGAGGGCTCAGACATATATATATATTGGATGTTTGTCCACTTTTGAAGTGACATTCTGGTTGGAGGCTCAGACATATATATATATATATATTGATTTACATACCTTTTTTAAAACATTGATATCTAGTTGTTTTTTTTTTTTGTTTCTTTTTTTTTTTGTTATTTTTTTTTAGTTTGTGATTTAGCATCTTAATTTAATATAAATACAAATCAGATTTTTTACTTTTAACTTGTAAATAGTCTAAATCACTTGCAGTTGTAATGCCAGTCTCAGTGGTAGCTAGCCACCTTTTGTTTATACTTTGGTTGTACCAAACCATTTCTTTACATTCTACAGGTTGGCTAACAAGATCGTCTCTTTACATTTCTAGCTATACAAAAAATAAATGTGTTCATTTAATATTTTTATGTTGTTGTTTTTATTTTATGCTTGATGGATATTTGTTCACTACAAATGTTCAGGTTTTGGCTAGCTAAAATGTTAAATTTTCTATTTTATGTTTTGTTTTTTTAAAGAATGTCAAGTTCAAATACCGTAGCCTAACATTCTCTACAAGTTGATAGAAATTTTTTGGGGAAAAAATAAAGTTCTTTTCATTAACAGTTTCAAAGTGAGAACCTTTAGTCTTTGCATGTTTGAGGACAAAATTGAAAGGTGTTCAAGGCTACCTTGCTTCTACATAAACAGTATTTAGTTATTGTTCCTTTTTATTATAGACACGTTTCTGAAATTGCAAAGTATACTCCTGTATTACAGTACTTATATTAGGATACCTTTTGCATTTACTTGTATTATAGTTGTCCTGTTTAGGTTGTATCAATTTTATTTCTGTTTGAAAATAATTTAGTTTGAAACATTTAGGCCTGATTGACTCTTTTAAGAAAAAGTAAAGTGTTTTTTTGTTTTTTTTAATGTTCTACAAATATCTCTTATAGGATGGAGGCCTACCTTCCAGCAATTTGTTAAATAGTTGTGATGATCACACATCACCCTCCTACCTTTGTAACCTTTTGCTGGTGTAACCAGTGTCTGCTGTCATTTCCTGTCTTGGAGTAGCAATTATAATTTAAGCATCTATAGGCCTTTTAAAAGTTAACTAAAATGCTTTTTTTTTTCTTTCTAACTATTCTTTTTACAGTCTGCCTGTCCCTTGTAGGCCTACAACATAATCTCTCAGTTTTTTGTCCATATAAAAAAAATTCTCTTAACAAGATCCTAATCTCAAGTGTTTAAAATATATTGTATGAAATATATTGTAGTCTAGCCTATCTTCCACATTTAGCATTTAAAATTTAATTTAAACAAAAATTTAATTTTTCATTTAAAGCCTTTGAAGGCTCACCTGTTAATTTTGATTTGTGATAGTTTTGTTTTTGTTTTTTATTTGTGTACATAGGTTCTACAGTTTTTTTGTTTTTTTTATTTCATGACAATTTTAGAACCTTATTTGCATAAGTTTATGATTTGTAAACAAAAAAAGATCTGGTATATTTAGGGACTTACATATTTGTTGAATATTGGCATGCAGATGTTTGTAGGCTTGAGTTTTGTTCTTGAAATAGTGTTTAATCATTTTAATCCTACAGTCACAAAAACAACAAACTACCTAATACCTACTTCAGAAAAAGAATAGCCAATTACAGTCCATCTAATTATGTATCCAAGCTATTTAGTATTTTACTTTATTTCATACAGGCTGTGAACTTTATACTAAAAGAAATTTCATTTATCTTACTTGACAGTATTTTAATTTCAACAATTCCAATATCTATTGTATACAAATTTAAGTTGAACATTGAAGATGTGGTGTTTTTTTTTTTTTTTTTTAGTCACTACTCATTCATGACCATTGATACACCCAGCATAGCTAAGGTCACTTAGATGTACATGCTATTTTACTTTGTCAGTCATTTTCTTGTGAGATAAAGTTGAGTAGTTTTGACATAGAAACCTCCTAAAAAAGAAATTTCAAATTTACCTGTGCAGTCAATATTTATTTTTAAAATAGGCTTGAATTTAAAACAAAATATATGAACCTCAACTCAGTAGTACAACTTGTTTTTATCTTCATGTTGTACTGGGCCAGTTTACAACAGTTCCATCATCAGAATACTTTGACTGAACACAGTTGTTGTAAATCAGTTTTTTTAATTGAAAATAATTCAGTTTAAGGAATGGTGTGCTCCACTGAAATAAGCTGACTCAATTGTCACAGTAGATTATCTCTGACTTATCTATGATAATTTGACTGTGTATCCTAAAATATGTATTTTCATTTGATGAATTCTTTTCAATAAGTCTTTTACCTCAATTTAAATTCAAATTTCTTGAAAGCACTGGGAGTTGAGATGCATATTTTAGGAAACAGTTGCTCAGAGAAAAACTTTTTCCTTTTAATATTGCAAGACAATTTAGATTTGATTAGATTGTTTCTGTGTTTATGAATGTGTGTCTGTTTTTGTGTTTATGAATGTGTGTCACAAGTTGTCATCTTAAAAAGCTAGTCATCTCAAAAGCCATTATGGTGGCATTTTTTTTCCCTAATCATTCTTTACTAGTATGGCTGAGGGGTAAACTAATGCTTGTCCCTGTCAGAGAATAGAAGAGTTTGACTAGGGACGATATGTATTTATAGCGTTAGGGAAGCTTTAAAGTGAAAGGTAAAGTCCACACACAATTTAAGCTTTTTAAAAAAAGAATTTTAAAAACTGTAACTCTCCATTCATTAATTGATTTGTTCATTCATTTAGGACTATTTTGTCTGTGAACTTAGCAATTCTACATTTTATCAATTGACTTGGCTAAAAAAAACAAACAATTGCTGTCTAAAATCAACTGACAGGCCATACCTATTTTTGTTGTACAAATAAATCCATGTTCTAAATTACTGTGAGTTCCACCAGAGATTTGAGTGTTATAGTTTTAGTAGCATAAAGTTCAAGATGTATGTGTATTGCTTTAGTCTTTTTTGTTTCTTTTGGTAGATTCAAGTTGTCAAAAGGTTGGATTCATTAAAAAGCTTTTTTTAAATCATAAAATGTTTTTTTCTTTCAGTAAAGTTTGTCTAGACATTTCTTTCAGTTCATCAGTAAACTCCATTTTTATTCTTTCATATACTTTTCATTTACTCCTGAATTATACATTTAGCAAATTGCATATTAATAGATGTTCAATGTTATTCATCAATAGTGTTTTAGTATCTTGAGGGCCGATTACTTACATCAATATAGGTCCAGATATATACATCAGTACGAATAGAATTGTGTATATCAGGTAGGAATTCAAATTCATACATGTATACGAGTTTAATTTTAAGTCTTCTTGTTTCTGACTTTCCATTTGTTTGGACCAATAAAATTATCTTCTTTGCCTACATTGCACATCAACCTAACCTGTTTGTAAATACTTGTGCTCCACTTGTAGGGTTTCTAGTTTGTTTCTTGATGAAGTCAGAAATGGTGTCCTTGTAGTACTGTTTTTGTTTGTTCTTCACAAATGTGTTTAGTTGGTTGTGGCCCTTAGTACTGTGTGATATAAATACATGGCCATCTAGAATGTAGTCTTTTCATTGCTGTGTTAGTTAGTTCATGGTCTGCCTACACTTTGATCGTAATTAGGTGAAAATAAAGATTTGACAAAACAAAGCTGTCTTGTTCAATGTATTCTATGTCTAGAAATATTGTCAATCTGTGCATGGAAGTCTTATTTGGCTATTGTTAGAAGTGCAAACGCATTCATCTTCTCATCCGTGGTTGAAGTTAAGCACAATCTCATTCACTGTAAACTCTAAGTAAGATCCACCTTCGCTTTGAAAAGCTTAGGTAAACTTGACCTAGCACAACCCTTTTTCCTCTGTTATTTTGTCAATCTTTCAGAGGGTTTGAGGTTTACCAATTACCACCCCTTATTTATCTCCAAATTAAAAGAAAAAAGCACAGCTACAGCTTTCAGATTTAAATGATGATTGCCAGGGCAATTTTGAGGTTCACTTCCCCTACTTCGTTACAAAATGGAATGGGTTGCCTGAGCCAGCCAGTAAAACCAGTGACTTAGCAGAATTTAGGTCATTGGTTCATATGCAAGACGCGCAGGACTTAAGACTTAATCATCTTCTTTTTTTTGAAGTAACGTCTGTATTATATGAGAAGAAGAAGACCTAGCAGACTGCTCATTAACTCCAGTTCTAAAAAAAAAAAAAAAATCTTATCTTATCTTTCCAATCTTACTTTTTGGCCGTGAATTGTAGAGAATGATTTTAGCTAGATCAAGCCCTTAAAAGATACATTCCTTAAGTTTTATAGCTTGCCTTCTCTATAGACTCTACTCTCCACGTTTAGGAGGCATAAAGCGATATCGGGAGGGGGGATGAAAGCACGACAGACCTTAGGATGCACTGGCCTTTGCGATTTCATTTAGATGTTTCCATTTCAGGAAATGTACTGCCGGGTAGGTAAATCTGTCCACTGTCTCCTTTCTGTTTATTGAATGCTTTAGTCTTGAGTGGGCACTTCTTGGAACAGGCAAATTCAAGAATTCAGTTTCGTGCTCTTCATAAGTCGCAGACTATGCTCTGCAGATTAGCTATGGGGCCATCGTCAAGAAATATACAGGTTTCTCATTGTCAGCAAAGATCTTTTTTATGGTTTCACGCTCTTTCAGAAGCAGAGGTCGTGATACATGAACCGTTTTACTGTGTTACGTGCGAGCAGTAGTAATAGAAAAGATATTTCTCTTTGGTTATCGCAGATTTAGCGTTTCCTTTGCGCTTGAGATGAGAGATGGTATTTTTGTAACTCCAGTGGCGGACTGAAAGGGTTAATGTGTGTGAGGCCTACTGATACACACGACTCAGGGCAATCTCACAGGTTAACGGCTGTCGATAGACAAAGAACAGTACTGCTAGTTCACGCAAATATGACCAGTATCATGGTCATGTGACCGAAAGTCTTCACGGTCGAGAGACAGTGTGTAAGAAAGGACTGTAGAGTCCAGGACAGCAAGGCGATAAGGACGATGCGATACTGTGAGTCCTCGAGAATGTAGCTGTACGAGCTAGAAAGACTTGCAATGTTAAGTTTGGCAGTTCTGTTAAGTGCAAGAAAGCATTTGAAGTTAGTGTAGCCAATTGTGTTGAATTGGCTGTCGGTGTAATTGTAAAAAAAACGCCACATTGTTTATTGAAGCTCTTGTATTAGATTTGCTGTGTTTTTTAGCAGTGTTTGCAGAAGGCCTGGTAGAGAAGATCGTAACAGTATCATCTCTCGTTCCCATATAAACAACAACAAAAAAAATCTGGTTTAGTCTTTCAATCTGGGTTATACTATTTTTTATAGACCTCTGTGGGAATAGAGTCGACTCTAAGGGCTGCAGCACCATCACATCACGTCTAGGGAGATCCAGAGAGTCTCCTCTTCCCTGGTGAGCTGGCCAAGCACGCTGTCAGTGAGAGTACCAAGACCGTCACTAAGTACACCAACAGAAATTATTTTTTTTGTAACAATAAGGTCAACAAAAGCCCATTGCCCCCAACACAGGCCATTTTTAGCGCCTTTCACTAATTGTTCACAATATTTCCCAATCCGATCGAGTCTCTTTTGATTTATCACGTTATACTCAGTTTAAAAAAAAAAAAAACTTTGGTCGAACTCTAAAAATAGGACCTTCTCCAATAAAGATTATTTGTCGAATGGTATACCCACACACACAAAAGGCCTCTTAAATGCTGATAGATATTTTCTCGACTCAAACATATATTATTGCATTACAGCTTTAGATATTAGTAATTTTTAAAAAAAATGTATTGTTGAAAAATGGGAGGTCAACTTTTTTTCTTTAAAAAAAACTTATATCAACTCACTCTGTCTGGTAAAAAGTATGCACTCGCTATTGTTCACATATATTTATAATCGCAAAGATTTATTATTATCATTTGTTTGTGTTTTTCAACTAAATTTCTATGACTGTACAATTTATTCTCTAGACAAAAAATGATTTTCTGTTTTGTAAGGCAGCTCTCAATCCTCAGTTACTAAACTCAACAGGCCTCTACTTCACAGAACAGACTTCTACTTCACAAAACAAACAGACTTCTACTTCACAAAACAAACAGACTTCTACTTAGCAAAAAAAAAAAAAAAAAAAAAAAAAACGACAACAGACTTCTGCTTCACAAAACAGACATGGATAATAAAAGAGATGTTAATGTGTTAGTTCCACACATTCAATGAAATTTAAGCATCTATGGTGAAAAACGTTTTTTTTTTAAGTTTCATTTTCAGGAATCTAGAATTTCATTATATAGAGTTGATGACTGTATGCTTAATGCTTTCAACAGTCATCATTGCCAACTTCCATCCCCTGTGTCCTGTAGATGCTTTCAACTGTCATCACTGCCAACGTCCATCCCCTGTATCCTGTAGATGCTTTCAACTGTCATCACTGCCAACTTCCATCCCCTGTGTACTGTGGATGCTTTCAAATGTCATCACTGCCAACTTCCATCCCCTGTGTCCTGTTGATGCTTTCAACTGTCATCACTGTCAACTTCCATCCCCTGTGTCCTGTTGATGCTTTCAACTGTCATCACTGCCAACTTCCATCCCCTGTGTCCTGTAGATGCTTTCAACTGTCATCACTGCCAACTTCCATCCCTGTAAGACATGACTCACTGTCAAAAGATAGGCTACAGTGGGGGGAGCACGAAGAAAGGGTCATCCAAAGAAACGCTGGTTGAGCAACATAAAAGAATAAACTCTTGATATTCTGCTAAGAACAGCTTTTGTTTAAAAAAAAAAGTGGAGGGATTTCGTTACACAAACTGTCACAGTA